TGGCCTTCTTGTACACAATTAACAGATTCAGTGAAATTAGAGAAACAATCAATTTAACAATAACATCAGAATGATATATCTAGGAATCAATATAACAAAGGAAGCAAAATACTGCTACATTGAGAACTATAGTATTCTGAAAAAAGTTTGAAGTTGATATAAGAAAATGGCAAGATATCCCTGTTCCTTCCTGGCTAGGAAGAACCAATATAGTGAAAATGGTCAAACTTTTAAAAGTGCATGCAGACTCAATTCATTCCTAATTAAAATACCAGCACTATAGTTCACCAAACTGGAGAAAATAATCCAAAATTCATTTGGAATCAGAAGAGACCTAGGATATCAAAAGGAATTATAAGAAACAGAGACATGGCAGGTAGTAACACAATCCCCAATGTGAAATGTTAACACAAATCCACTGTGGTAAAAGCAGCATGAAACTTGCAGAGAAACAGACCCTAGGAATGGTGGAGTAAGTAGAATATGTGGAAAGAACTTCAGACATACTCAGCTACCTCATCTTTGACAAAGGAGCCAACAATCCTCACTGGAGGAAAGATAGCCTCTTTAATAAATGGTATTGGAAAAACTGGATTTCAACTTACCAAATATTAAAATAAGACCTGTATCTCTCACCACCAATTTAACTAAAATCCAAGAGGATTAAAGATTAAATATTAAAACAGAAACACTAAATTTGTTGGAAGATAAATTAGGTACAACTATTGAAGACATTGTCATAGAAGTCTTTAGGAACAAATACTCAGTATCTCAGGAACTAGCACAGACAATGAATAATTGGGATCTCATCTATTTAAAAATCTTCTGCACTGCAAGTGAAATCACCAGCAGAGTTATTAGACAACCCATAATGAGGGAAAAATTACCAGCTATTCCTCAGACAAGGTTCTATTGTCTAGAATGTATAGAGAACTCAAAACAAATCAGACCCCCTCTCAAATATAACAACCCAATTCAAAAAAGGGCATCTGAAGTGAAGAGACATTTCTCAGACAAAGAAGTACAAACAGCAAATAAACAGGAAAAATGTTCAACATCAGTGGTCATTAGAGAGATTCAGATGAAAACCACACTGAGATTCCACCTCACCCCAGAAAGAATGACTGCTATCAAGAAATCAACTAATAACAAATGCTGATAGGATTTTGGGGAGAAAGGAACCTTTCTCCATTATTCATGGGGATGCCAACTGGTGCAATCCCTATGGAAAGCAATGTGAAAATAACTCAAACAAGTAGGATGAGATGTCCCCTTTGACCCAGCTATGCCTCTGCTGGATATCTTATCAAAATAATTAAAATAATCATACCACAGTGATATATGCTTACCATGTTTACAGTGGCATGGTTTTTAATAGCTAAAACTTGGGAACAGACCAATTTCTCATCAACTGGAGACCAGATAAAGAAGATGTGTTTTTTCTAAAATGGAGTACTACTTTGCCATAAAGAATCACAAACTAGAGACATTTATAGCTAAGTGAGTGAACATTGAGGACATACACTTAAATTAAATTAATAAGAAACACATGTGTAAATACCAAATAATTTATCAGATACAAAAAACTAAAAATATAAATTAGGATCAAAATGCATAATTGGTACTGTGTAATATGAAGAAAAGGCCTAAAAGTGTAGAGGAAGTTGAAGAAGTAGGGATAAGGTAAGAATGCAAAAGAAAAACATATATGAAAAGGAGAATCATGGAAACAATATCTTGGTAAACAGGGCATGGTCGAGGGGGTGAAGGGAGGGTGAGGAATGGGGAAAAAATAAGAACCGAAATGCATTCCCTAAAGGTGCAATACCCCGATGCTGAATGTAACTGTACTGTATGTCTAAAAATTTCCAATAAAAATGAGTGGGAGGAAAGAGGGAGGGAAGGGAAGAATATGAAAACAAAAAGAATTAAGATGAATTATATACATGGACCAAATTATACAAAGAATGAAGAATGTGTACCTTTTCAAATTATAGTTTTCATGATATTTAAATGTAGATCATGATTCAGATAAGAATTTAGTAGTACTTGAATAGAGACGTAAAATATTTGTAAGGTGCTGATTTAAGATGGAATACGAAAAATTAATTAATATAGTTGACTGCCTTCACATCTAGGAGATTTGTTCCATAACCCCTGGGGATAGCAGAAAATGAGGAGCATACAGATCTCTGCATTTACTGTTTTTCTCACATGTGAATACCTGGGATAATATATAATTTACAAATAAGTCACAGTAAGAGATTAACAACACTAACAACAAAATAGATCAACTATATATAATTCTTTTCTTCTTCCTCTTCCTCCCCTTATTTTCCTTCTCTTTCTCCTTCTGCTCCTTCCACTCTCTACCTCACTCTCTGTTTTACCTCAGAAACAGTTACTTGAACACAATGTGATACAATGACAATAGGTCTGATAAATGCCATAGCCACTTAGTATCTAACAAGATGATAGCATTCACAGAATGAAAGGGTGCATTGAATGAAAGGATGATTCACATTCCAGATGAGATGGATTAGATTGCGCATGAGGTTATGACACAATCTGATCACATTTTTTACTCCTCTCCACTCCGTAGCCACCACCATTCTACTCCTTTCTTTGATGAGATGTACTTTTCTGTCCATAAAACAAATAAGAAAGTAATCAAAACCAGAATGTGGAATGTTACAAGATACACTACTATTTTTCCCCTCTAGACGAAAATGGCTTGTCTGGACTTCCTCAGACTTTGAGAATAAACTTCCACAACAATTCTCTCAGCCAAGATAAATAAATAGGATGAACACAGGCTGGCACAAGGAGGTAAAAGTGCACATTCATTTTCACAGAACAGAGAGGGAGATGGGGTGAGGGTGGCATCTTTTACTGTTCCTTGCTATTAAAGAACTTACACACCTTTGCAGGCTAAGATGGCAACTTAGGTGATAAACATCTCCCACTGGATCCAGCTTTAAATGAGCCTTTTTAGAAAAATAAATGGGCTCCTGCTTCTACTTCTTCATACAAAAATTGTCTATTCATTTCAGATGCCCATTTTTTATTTGTTTTTGCATTTATCTATTACAAACTGTGCTATTATAAATACAGGCATGCATATACCACTGTGGTAAGATACTTTTAATTCTTTTTGGGTGGTCTCTTTTATTTTTATTTTTTTTACTTCTTCATATATTCTACATAGTAGTCCTTCAAGGAACAGTTGGTAAATCTTTTTCCTCACATTGTGGGTTGTCTTCTGTTGTTGGTTTATCTTGCTGTGTGGAAGTTTTTTTATGAGACACCACTTGTTGATTCTTTGTGATACTGCCTGCGTGTGTTAGTTATTTTCCTCTCATTTCTGAGACAAAATACCTCACACCCAAAGTTAGAGGAGAAGAGGTTTATTTGGCTTACATTTCATAGAGGTTTGAGTACAAAATCATTTGCCTCCAAAGCAGGGTGCAACAGTTCATGGGGGACAGATATTAGCAAAGCAACAAGAGGCCTCAACAGTGCCTTTATTCTTCTTTTATCTTATTCAGACTACTGAGATTAGGGTAAGGAAAAACCAATCACATGTAGCAGTTTAGTAATCACACATCCTTATTCCTAGCATCATACATTCTAGATTCACCCACCTATGACAGCATAATGCTTTGAGGGGACATCTAGACCCAAACCATTTATTTGTTTTACAGGTCTTTTTCTAGACCAATATCTTCAAGTGTTCTACCTAACCTCCCTTCCAGCAGATTCAGTAAATTAAATAATGTTCAATATCATGGTCATTGATGAGATGCAAGTGAAAATAACATTGAGATTTTTATCTTATCCCGGATAGAATTGCTGTTATCAAGAAGTCAAGCAATAACAAAAGCTGGTGGGGTTATGTTGAAAAAGGAACACCTCCACTTTTGGTGAGAGTGTAAGTGGGTGCAACCACTGTGGAAATCAGTGTGGAGATTCCTCAAAATCTAGTGCTAGAGGTTTCATTTGACCTAGATATCCCTTCCTTGGTATATTCTGGAAAGAATTAAAAGCATCTTGGAGGGCCAAGGATGTAGCTCAGTGGTGCAGCACCTGCCTGGCAAGAGTGAGGCCCTGGTTTCGATTCCCGGTACCAAAAAAGAAAAGTGAAAAAAAAAAGAATTAAAAGCATCTTACAACAGTGATATATGCGTGCCCATATTTATAATAGCAAAGTTTGTAATAGCTCAATCTGGAAACAACCTAAATCTCCATCAAGTGATGAATGGATAAAATGTGGAGTTTTTATGCAACACAGTAATACTCAGTCATAGAAAAAGATAAACTTGAGACAATTATACCTAAATGGATGCATCTTGAGACGATACCCTTACTTGAAATAAAATGGGCACACATGTATAAATAGTGCATTGTTTACTGGTGTGAGAAACTGAAAATGTAAGGAAAAATGTATAACAGATATTGTAAAATAGGAAGAAAGTGTTCAAAGCATAAGGGGAAGTTGGGAGGGGGTGGGAAAAAGAAATAATGGGAAGAAAAAATGAGAAACGAAGGCAAACATAAGCCAATCTTTTGTAAATAAGGAGGGGTAAAGGGGTGCAAGGGAGGGAAGGAGAATGGGGAAAAGATAAGACCCAGGATATATCATATACAGGTACACATTCACTACGATGCATGTGATGATTTTATATACTTCAAATGTACAAATAAGCTTACTTAATAAAAATAAATAAATAAGTGGCCACATTTAATTTGGTGAGCAGTCAGGAAACAAACCTGAGCACATAGCCCTAAGTGTCTAGTAATAAGAAAACATGCTATTTGTCTTTCCCTGTCTGATTTATTTACTTAACATGGTTACCTCTTAGAAAATGTGTCTTCTTACTATCAATGTTTACTTGCATTATAGGCAGCTGAATCAGAAAGAAATTAATAGACAGTCAGAGAGGGACTGGGCTCTCAAGAAAGTCAGCAGAAAATGAAGACATCAGAATTGTGGCGGGAGGCACATCTGAAGAAGGCCAGGCCTCAAGATGAAGAAGGAATGGCCAGGACTCCATGCCTCCCTGAGGGATAAGTGGTAACTTGGAATTATACTATAATTGATATCACCTGGCCCAGGAAGTCAGCACATCCTGACCCATCCCTTCCCAAAATGCCTTTGTTCCTTCATGCATCCTTGCTACCTGACTCATTTTCTATTTGAATCTATATTAACTACTCAGCTATATTTATGATCTTATAGGTTGATGTAAACTGACCCATGTTAAACCCACATCATGAGTTTGTGGTATAAAGTACCCCTAACAAAGGGCCTCAGTGGCACCTCGCTTTTAGGACCCTTTCTGTCTCCCAGAAGGTGTATCTCAATAAACCTTTCCTGCTCTTAGCTTCCCTTGTTCCTTGGAACTCATTCTCTGATATTAGGGTGACACAAACTTGGCACATCTGATATCTGGAGGTTGGAAATTATATCTCTCCTATATCACTTTCCTCCTATGTAGGGGGTTAATACCTCAGAATTCAGGGAGACAGATCCCCACCTCTGGAATCCATTTCACCTTACCCTGACGCTTCCTCCACTGGACACAGACCAGGCTTTTATATCACTAGGACCTGATCCCTCAGTTCCCCTCCCCACACAGACAATGGGGCAGCATCTTAAAGACACTGAAAACTCTCAGTTATTAATAATGCCAGTTCCTGGCTGCTTTCCCACATTTTCTGCAAGAAAGAGGGGAAAGTGATGGCATTCCAGCCAGTTCAGTAGAGCTGGGCCAGCCAGGAGCTACAGGAGCTGAAATCTCTGCTGAGATCCTCTGGCTCTAAGTCCAGTTTGCTTAAAAAAAAAAACAACACTTGATGTAGCTCTGTGGCAGAGCTTATGCCTCATATGCCCAAGAACTGAGATTGGTTCTCAGCACCGCTTGATTAAAAATGAATAAATATAAATATTTCATCTATTGTCAAGGACAAATGTTACCCCTGCCCTGGGATACTATACTTGAAAATAAGATCCCAATGAGGCAACATTTCTTTTCTTTTTATTGAGTTTATTGGTACAGTCTAGGTATACAATACAGTTAGATTCTTTATTGGGATCCTGTACCTTTACATGATAGGTCTTGATTCTCATTTTTCCCCTTGTCCCTGCCCTCAGTTCACCCCCTCTTCCCCTTCCCATTTACAAACACTTTATTTCCATTTTTTATTTTCTCATGTTTTCTCTCCCTTATTACCTTTAACCCACCCTTCCCACTTTCCCTACACCTTTAGCCCTTTACTTCCCATTTCACATTATTAATTATCTCTTTAGTATATTGTGTACTATTATAGTTTTTCACACCAGAGAAACTATTTGGTATTTCAGTTAAAGAAATCTCTGTATGAACATTAAAAATAGGGAATTCTAAAATAAAACTAAAAAAGAAAGTAAAGGAGAAAAGGCAATGATGTAAAATTAAAGTAATCCTTAATTCTGAAGATGAAATTGGTCCCTGAATATATTTAAACTGTTGGTGATTGTATCAGTTGGGATAAAGGATTGTGGTTGATTTGATGAGCTGTTTTCTCTGATGTTATGAGGATGAGAATGCCTGTGGGTCATTAGAAATGCAGAAGATAGGGTGCAACTATTTCAGGAAGATTTCGGTGATAACCCAGAGATTAAACCAAGGACAGCCCAACAACAAAAATAAAAATGAGAAAACACTTAAACAAGACACAAAGACAGACTTCTATTTCACCAATGGCAAACAGTACGGCAAATGAGGATGAAAAGACTGATAGTTAACCAGCAGGACACCCTGAACTCAAAGCACAGGAAGTAACAAAACAGATCAATCAGTCTCTAGAAAAATTCAAAACAGAAATAATTTCCTAGATAAACCATAGAGATGGTGAGCAAAATGAAAGTCATGATTCAAGAGTTTAGAGCAGAAATTGACAAAAATTAGATGAGCTCAGGACCATGATAGAGGCAACTTTTATATTTTAGTTTCTATTTAATTTTTTTGAATTGAGAAATATATATATGGTACAATACAATGAATTGATAAATGTGTATATTGTGCATTATAAGCCAATTAACATATCCTTCATCCCCTCTGCTTTTTTGTGATAAGAATGCATTGATATGTGCTTATTTAGCAATTTATAAATTTACAGTACAATATTTAATCATAACCATGTTCACTATGAAGTACAGTAGAACACTAGAATATTTCGTCCTAACGTAACATCTGTTCCCTCAGTCAACTTCATTTCCTTTTCCATATTCCCTCCCTTCCTCAAGCCTTATAAGTAAGATCATATTTTATTTGTCTTTCTGTGTCAGGCTTATGCCATTGAAAAATAATATCTTTCAAGTTTACCCATATTGAAGAAAATGACAGAATTTCCTTCTGTGTAGCATTCCTTTGTGTACATATGTTATATTTTCCTCATCCTTTCCTCCATTCTTGGAAAGTTTGAATAGTTAGGGCAAGTGTATGTGTGTGTGTGTGTGTGTGTGTGTGTGTGTGTGTGTGTGTGTGTGTGTGCACGATGCTGAGAATTGAACCCAGGACCTTGGAACTCAACTGCACTCTCAGCTCTTTTCTTTCTTTCTTAATTTCTTTCTTTCTTTCTTCTTTCTTTCTTTCTTTCTTTTTCTTTCTTTCTTTCTTTCTTTCTTTCTTTATCTCTCTCTCTCTCTCTCTTTCTTTTCTTCATTTTTTTATTTCTTTTTTGGTACTGGTGATAGAACTTGGGTCTTTGAGCTTGCGAGTTAAGCTGCAGAACCACTTAGCTAAATCCCTGGCCCTTCATTCTTTTTTTTTTTTTTTTAATTTTGAAGCAAGTTTTGCTAAGTTACCTAGGCTCAAACATGAGATTCTCCTGACTGTTGAGATTGCAAGCACACACAATAATTTTCAACTATATCAATTTTATTTTTATTGGATATTTTCTAATATCTTTTCTGAAATTGTTATTGGTCCATGTTTGCAGTACATAATGTTTACAGTCAGAATGTTGATTTGGTATGTGTGAAAAACACTTTTTAATTCTTTTTTTCATCTTCTTCCCTCCCTTCCTCTCCTCCTGCATCTCTTAATCCCCATCCCTTCTGAGAAGGATCTCCCTAATTCCTATTATCTATCTTTTATTACAGCAGCATATCTATAGTCAATAATGTATTGTGTTTTTCAAAATAACTAAGAGAATATATTTCACAGGGATCACACAGGTCTCCCTATGAAGCTCTGCTCAGCTCCTGCAGGAAGATGACCTGGACACTACAAGTGAGCATTCTGCAGCACCCACAGGCCTGTCTTCAGTTTGGCTGGGTGACTTTCACAACTTAATCAACCTCCTACTTTCCTCTTCTCCTGTTCCTCCTCCACTTCTTTTTCTTTTCTCTCTTTCTTCCTCCCTCATGCTCCCTTCTTCACATTCTCATCTCTCTCTCTCTCTCTCTCTCTCTCTCACACACACACACACACACACACATGCACACAACAATGAAATAAAGTACAGATTGATGACTTTTACTCATTTTCCAGGCTATCTAGTCCTTCCCTTTATTTCCCTCTCTTTTCCCAGGTTACACCCACCACTTCCTGAACTCCACATCCAGCAGTGAGCAATGGGTCGAAGGATCACTGTGCCTTGGACCGCTCTGCTCTTTCCCTTATCCACTACCTCACGTTCCCTGAGAAGGAGGAGTCTACACCCGAATAAAGCTGCATGCATGTTTGAAGTACCTTTGTGTTTAGTGGGATCAGGAAGACAGAAAGGATGGTTAATCTGGGGAGAAGGATATACAATATCAAGATGGGCAATGAAAAAATCTCTAAAATGCATGCCTCATTTCTTCACTTAATTATATCAGTAATGTTACAAAAGAATGACTTTACACTTGACATGTGATTTCTTTACTGAGCAATTTTACTCATAAAATATTTGAAGTCACTCATCTCCAACAGGTGCTGCACCATCCAAGCACAATTTCTTCAGTGTCCTATTTCTGCCTTGCAGTATTGCTCCACTTTCTCCACACATAGCCTCACAACTAGACTGGATATTAGAGTTGAATGATTATATTTCTTATCACCTTAGGATACAACAATATATGTTTTCTTGTATTTACTGCTATAAATATTCCATGCAACTCATCCTGATAACCTTTAATTCTTTCCCTTTTTTGAAAGTTATATTTACTGTGTATTATCTCAGGTGGGTAGTGTGTTATCTTGTAGTATCAGGTGAAAGTAATATCAACATAACAGACTGAGAGATGGAGGTATTTGAAAGAACATCCTCAGCATCAGCTTTAGGTCCTGTGTTGAAGCTGTCAATTGCTACAGAGCTGTCAAGAAATTGTAGCCTTTGGAAATAGACGCAACCCCCAGTGGCTTTACTTTGATGATAGTTTTCAAATACCACATGATATAATCACACTGACTCATAAGGGCGGATTGTCCTATAACGTCTGAGGCCACCTCATGTGGTGAATTGTCAATACTGCAGCTCAAACTCCCAGTTTGCTCACCCTTTATCAACATATGAGAGTAAATATATTTATCTATGCATAAATTTATTACTTTATCTTCTTTTCATAAGATTTCAGGTGAAATGGAGTCTATCAACAAACCTAATTCATAATAGTTTTGAAAGGATAAAATCAGTTGTTATCTTCAAAGTGCTGAAAACTGTACCTAGTAATACAGTATTCTAACTGTGTTGCTGGTCATAGCTATTTATCTTAATTATTGTATTTGTTATCAAGATTCATGAGAACATTCTCATTAGTTCCAAAAATTAGTTGTATTCCAATTATGGAAGAGTGAAATAACATGAGGTATTTAAGTCATTTTCTCTGGCTGGCTCTTGCTGAACATAGTATATTGAATTTTGCTTTTGGATTTCCCTCAAAACTATTTTCAGTGCATTACCCAGCTGGTTCTCTCCTCAGAAAGTTTCTGACTGTGCTCCAAATGTGAAAGAATAATTAACCATGCCACAAAAGACTATGTATTCTAGAGTGGGTTTAAGAATGGTCTGTTTTATATGTAGCATGTTCACAACATGATGATGTGTTTCCTGGGCCCTCCATTTTTTATGCCAAAGATTTTTGGAGATGTTACATCTTACCAATTACATTAGGATGAAATATTACTCTCTTGAGATGATATGTACCAAATCTTCTTTACCTCAAGAGAAAATAAATTATGAAAAATAAATCTTGTGGTATTCTTCATTTCTGAATTTTGTTCAGAACATAATAGTCAATGTTGTAGAATGTTAGACATCAAGCGTGGTATCAAAACCAGCAGATGTATACCTAACATGTACCAATGAATATAAAAAAAAAACAGCAGAAGCAGCATTTGGGAATATTTTGGAAGAGAAAACTTCAGCTTATGTCCAACTTTCTGAATCTGACACTCTAGGTGTGTAGCAAAACATTTTGATTTTTTCTAAGTCTTCCAGGTGATTCAAATGTAAGATGCAAATACAGGATCACTGCCATACAACCCATAAATAATAATATTGGTTGTGGTTTGACTGTTCGCTTTTGATTTGGGAGAATTCTCAAGGAAATATGCAGTGTATCAATTAATTGATTTGTACCAGTTAGTACGTATGTTGAACAGTCCTTCCATGAGACAATCAGGGTTGGTTGTATTTCAGGGCCTTCTGAAGTTTAAAAAAATGCTTTAAGTCATTTTGGAGGGCTTGCTATTGCTAAACAGACTGTATTGAATCATGCTTTTTTATCAAGGAATTTACATTTTGTTTTTCATAAATACAGGCTTGCAATTTTCTCATTTATTGTCTTTTCTTGCTTCAGCAAGAGTATCAGCATAGCATTCTTTTTTTAAAAATTTAATTTATTGGTACATTCTATGTAGACAGTACAGCTACCTTCATTACTGGGATCTTGTACCTTTACATGCCAGGTCTTGGTTCTCATTTTTTCCCCTTGTCCCCACCCTGCCTTCACCCTCCACTCCCCTGTTCAAACACTTTAATTCCATTTTTACATTTTCTCATATTTTTTCCTTTTCCCTTATTCCCCCTTCCCTATCCTTCTCACTGTCCCTACACCTTTGGTACTTTTCTTCCCAGCATAGCATTCTGAATGGAGTTTGTTTGAGTTAACTTCACTTCAACCTTAGCAGGACTTTGGGAATTATTGACAGCATTTCTTTTTTTCTTTTCTTTTCTTGAGTTTATTGGTGAGTTTTAGTTATACAATACAATTACATTCATTATTAGGATCTTGTTCCTTTACATGAGAGGTCATGGCACAGTTTGTAATAGCTAAATCTTGGAAACAGCCCATTTGCCCATCAGTTGGAAATCGGATAAAGAAGATGTGGTTTTCCTGTATAATGAAATACTACTCAGCCATAAAGAATGAGAAATTAGATTCATTCGTAGCAAAATGGATACATATTGCGGATATGCTCCCAAATGAAATATATAAGTCACACATGTGTAAATAATGAATAGTTTCTCTGGTGTGAAAAGCTAAAATAGTACATAAGATCCTAATGAGATAATTGACCACGTGAAATAGGAGGAAAAAGGCTAAAGGTATAGGGAAAATGAGAATGGTAGGAGAAAGGTAATAAGGGAAGACACTGACAAGGGAAAAATTTGACAGCATTTCTTAGCTACTGTAGGTCTGTGATCCCAGCACTTTGGGAAGCTGAGGTAGGAGAATCACAATGTCAAGCCCAACCTGGGCAATATTGTTCAAGTAGAAAAGTCCTTTCTCAAAATTTACAATGTCGGATTTCATTCAGTATGAAGATCCTGGATTCAATCTCTAGTGCTTTTAAAAAGATCATGAAATTTCTTTAAATGTTGGTAGAATTGACAGGCAAGGTTCTTAGGCCTTGATCTTATTGCCCATCAGAAACTTTATTTTATTACTGATTCAATCTCTTCAGAATATCTATTCTCCCAGGAAGAATTTATGACTTAATCAATCCTGAACAACTGAAGAAACACCATAGTTGCACCCTATCCTAGTCCTTGAGATGCATCCAGTCACCTAAAAATGTCTGAAGTATATCCTTCTTTGGAGCAGAGTATTATTCCATTGTTTATGTATTATTTATTGTATATAAGAAATGCTGATGAGGATGTGAGAAAAAAGAACACTTCTGCATTGCTAATGACAGTATAAATTAGTACTACTATGGAAATCAGTATGGATATTCCTCAAAAAACTAAAAGTAAAATGTTCTATTTCACCCAGCTATTCCACTTTAAGAATCTTCCAAAAAAATTTAATAGCATTATATTAAATTTATATATTTGTAGCAATAGTAGCACAATTTATAAAAGCTTGGAAACTGCCTATAGTCTCATCAACAAGTGAATGGATAAATATAATGTGGTATTTATAAACAATAGAGTACTCTTCTTACATTAACATATTTATGAAGAATCTTAGTACTTTCTAGTTTACCATATGCTACCAATAGTATTGTAATATTATGTATATATGAGGTCTGACAAAATAAATACACATATGAAGAATAGACAGCCTAGTAAAATATTCTAATATTAAATTTATTGAGAGATCACAAGATTATTATACGTTTTGTAGCTCTACAATTACAAGAGGTGCTCAAAGTTGAGGAAATTAGCTTCCAGACACTTACTAGTTTTCTTTTCCTGAATTGTGTATACATGTTTGACAGATTTTGTATATAATTCACGTCTATTAAATTTTTTCACAGTGAAAAATTCAATTAGACTTCCTGACATGATGAAATAGATACAAATAGCTGTAAAGAAAGGTAGGGATTTGTTAAAGTAGTTGAATGGGTTATGTATGCAAGGGTGGTGAAGTGGTGCTGAAGAGAAATAAAGGAGAGACCTGGAAGATGTACAACTGGAGTCAGGAGTGAGGATATCACCCATGTTGAATTACTCCCCTCTATAGCACTGGTGTTTAAGGATATATGTTCCTGGGTTTGGAATGACAGTAGATATTCTGGTAACTATCAGGTTAATGAGGAGCTTTGGAAATTGACCCCTCACGGATACAGAAACTTTAGGAGTCAGGCTGTGCAACCTCAGTCAAAAGCCTTGCCCAGTCAGGTGGCAACAGCTGTGCTCTCTCGAGAGAAGGATCTTCTTGGTGCAGAAGCACTGAGCCAGTCCATGTGTCCATCCTTACTGAGAACAGATCTTTTGACTTTCACATGCAGGTGATTTTCTGTGCCCCATTTTCAGAGACACCCTCCAGGTGTCTTCATTTATAATTTGAAGATGAATGCAGACAGTGGAGTACGATTTTACCTCCAGAAATTTCTTGGATATTCATGTGAGGTGGGAGGGTAAGTTCTTTGGGTAAGGAGATGGGGAAAGAGTTTCTCTTTGAGGAGTTTTTTTTTTCCTTGTATTTCTCAGAAATATGAAGAGCAGAAATGACCAAAATAACACCAGCAACAAAAATGGCCATCATATTCCCCCCTTTAACCAATACTATTATAGTGCTGTGTTGTTTTATGTCTCATTAAATGAAGTAATAAAATGCAAAGCATAAACAATTCATCACTTTGACAATTGGCTTTATTGTTCTATTTACCCCAGACTGTCCTCATGAATGTGGTGATGTTCCATATGCATAGCTCCTAATTGGGTGTGTAGTCATGAGCAAGAGTAAGTAACCGTAGCACCTCTCAGTTAAAGAATGCTCAAGTAAACTGTGCTGAAAATATCATGGTACAATCTAGTAATTAACATAAAGTAAGGAAGACTATACATATAACATTTATCA